TCATGAGCCGTGCTTATAACTGATTTAGTAAATGGCAAAAGGCCATCACATCGAAGCTGACATCACTCCAATTCAGCTCAGATTGCTAGGAAATTGTGTTAAAGATTAACAATTACCGGTACTTGATATCCAAGTCCTTGTTACATTACACTGTCATTCTGTGTCATAATGGTCAGTATGAATGTCATCCCTTCATTGGTTTCACTTGGTGTGTTTCTTTGGTAAAAGTCTGTCTTTGGTACAAATTTAAAAACACATATACTGATCCTATTTTCCTGAGCTGAATTCATGATATTTATATTATGCACAGCAATAGGAGAAGTCGCTAAAGGACAGGAATCTTTATGGCAACCATGATCTGTATAATTAATGAGTTGAACAATTCTTTAGGAAATTGTTATGAAAGTTATCAGAGATGTTCCATGAATGAGAACTGAAGTTTGTTCATTTTCACCATTGTGAGACTGAGACTGATAAAACATGCATGGGAATGGATCAAATGTGTTGAAAGGGCAGATTTTATTATTTTCATGAAGTGCTCTTTTGTCCAAATATTTGAACATGAGCCAATCTTTGACCCAAGCTGACATTTATAGTAGATGTACAGAAAATATCACAAATGTATGGCAAAAAAATCTTATCTTGGGTCACTTTCTCGGTCTTACATGTACATTTGAAGTCTACCTATTTTCTGTAACTGAGTATGTCAGACATTCAAAACTTCCCAAAATAAGAAAGCCAGAGGGCTAGTTGTCAGATCTCCTTCTTCCTCCTTCGAAATGTTTTGTGAAATGTTTTGTTATATACAGTACTTATCATTACCTGAACTTACAAGTGGCACCTCAGCAGTAGCAGCTTGTTGTGGAAGGTGATTAGATTGGACCATCTTTTTGATTTGGGAAACCTGGCTATATTTCCTGATCATTAGGAGGTTAATGTTGTATTGACCTGATGATCAGTGTTTATACTGACCAAAGCTATACAATAACAACTAGGCAGGATGATTACACAGAGGAGCTGTGCTGTGGAAAGGAGATAAACACTGGCTAGCAAGCACCTGTAGACGGACCTGTAACTACAGGGGTTGAGAGGTGTAAGCATGGGCTGCTGATGAGAATATTCCCAAGGACAATAGCGGCAAATATTTCCTGATTGCTGACAGATGTTGCAGGCTCCTTCTTTGTGCTCATTTCTGAAGTAAAATTTATTTATATTGCACTGGAGATTTGTCCAACTCTAAGATGATGAAAAATGGAACAAACTTCATAGCAGTCATTTTTTTAGTCCACCGAGCACAAAGTACAAGCATATCCGAGGTGTCAGCATATCTCACTCACTCACAATCTGAAGCCTGTATGTTCATTTTAGAGTTGGTTTTCAGCAACCAATGCTTCTTGTAGGACTCAACTAACAGGATCGCTGTCATGATTCATATCATTGTATTCCAATTACATACATCAATGCTCATGATGTCAATCAGTGGATTGATTATATGCACACTGCCAGAATATTGCTGAGTGTGACATTTAACAACAGACAAGAAATGAAAACTTCCAATCTCTGTCTAAAGGTAGTGTTATTGTTGTCATGAAAGGTGTATTGGTGGGAGGTGTTAAGAGAGATCTGTCACTATTAAAAATGTATTATGTTGGTTATAAAAATCGTTCCATAATTCCAATGTCATATTTGCCAGGAGAGCTCATTATCATCACAGTTGGTTGACTTCACCGATTATCGATCAGTCATTGTGACGACTTTATGTGTGTTAAAATACTCTTTGACCTAAGCTACTAAAAATTGGAAAAATGGAGTCTGTTGTTTCCTACTGTGCCTTGGGGAATGGATATCAGGGCAGAAGTATTGAACTTTGGGGAGATTTCCTTTTTATGTGAATATTTACAATCAATAACTCACAGTATCATTAATATCTGTGTGTTCAGTAAATGGAGTAGTGCTATTTCTGTCAGATATTTGTCATGATTTATCAAACACTGTGTCAGCAAAGAAAGCTGATGGGGGTTCTAGTCTATAGCTGCCTTGGCTAGAATCCATGAAGATTGTGAAAGTGGTGACGTTAAATATTGTCATTTGAATGCTGGTGCTGCTGATAATGTTAACAAATATAGTAATAGGCATTTATGATCTGGAAAGAATTATACATATCTAATAAAATCAATTATTAGAATGTGATATGAAGGATAAAACCATTTGAGAGAGAGGGACTGGTGGTGGTGGTGGTGATGATGCTGGTGGTGGTGATGATGATGCTGATTATCATCATCATCACCGCCACTGTCATAATGACATTGAAGGTGTCACATCATCTGCAAAGGGAGTCATCCTCCTTCTGCTCCAGCCTGCCTCTGGGAGAAGGAGTGATCAATGAGTCAAGCATCTGCGATCTATCACTTGACTCATGATGCTTGTATCGATATTCAATCACACACACATGCAACAACTTTGAGATGTATTGATAAACTCTTTCACCGAGTAGTACCAATCTCACTTTCATCAGTGCTTGATGGCACAATTATATTATCCTTATGACTACTTGCTATGAGTAATGGGCTTGTGATTCATGTTTAACACCTCTAGTTGTAGCTGTTCAAATGACTTGTGGGGCTTGTCTGTGTTCACGAATACCTCTAGGCTAGAAGGACAGGCAACTGATGATGGCACCATATGTGTGAGAAACACTCCTGGATGACAAATGTCTGTCCCAGGAGAAGTCTGTGATTCTGTGATTTCATTTTTTCGTCTCATCGTCACATTTATGTATTTTGCAGAGCAATTGCAGAATAGGCATTTTTAGTGATCAATAACAGTCAAGCTATATATATTACACATGCGAACATATCTATTAACACATTTGAGTGTGAGAATTGTCACTATTAACCAGTATTAGTCATGCTTGAAATTATCAAACGTTTTACCAATGGCTAGTCTTTTCTGAATTTGTTCCTAGTATGCTTAAATTGAAACACGTGTTTATTTGCTATAAAAATATGAGTCTATATTTCATATGTAAAACAAGCATATGTCTTGCAGAATTTGAAGAATTTAATCATGGAAGCTTATAGGGATGAAAAGCCCTGGCATTTATTCTCCACACTTGTTGTGCTTAAAGAAAATGGCACTTTCCCACACCATTTCTTCAAAAGTAATTGCCTGAAAGTTATTTGTTACAGTTTCTTCAGAGCCACAAGATGTATTTTATTTTCTATCTGGATATTAATGTTGGAATGTGTTGACACTTTCACTGCTTGACATGTTTTATATATATATATTTTTCCCCTAACCCCTAAAGTATCAGATTTGAAAACATATTCCCATTGCTCATTTCTCAAGCTAGTTTGTGTTTCAGGGTTTAATGAATATACATTATACCATGTTGTAAAGTATTTAAAATAAGATAATACTCAGTATCAATAATGTTGAGAGGACACGAGTCCTCTGTTAATGATGCAAAGTTGGTAGAAAATCAATACAATCTCTCTTTAAGATATTATTGTACAGGAGTATCATTTGTCACAACACGCCTACATGCTTCTATACACAGACAGGAAGGATTGTACCGGTAATCTTGTTTGGTGTGTCCCTGTCCTCTCATTAGCTCCAGATATGTCTGATGTGTCCTACAGTAACTCCATTCTGTCAAACGCTTAAACAACAAGTTGCTATTCACGTGGACTGTAGTACAGATCAGACGACACAGTTGTCATTTGAATTTAGTTTTTCAAATAGATGCCTTGTGATGTTTTCTTCAGCCCCAAGACTCTGTAATCTGAAGTCAAATGATGATATTTGTATGATGTGTCTGTTTTATTGATGTCAGGTGAGTCAGACAATATAGGAGAACATACTTAACACGTCTGGCATTCAAGGACTTCTATATTGTGGACAGGTTATTCAGCAATAAGGGAGGGAGTTAGTGTTATGTTAAGCTGCCATTGCAAGTCACAGCTACCTGTAAATGCTCAAAGCTGGAACAAGAATACCTGTAGCTCTTCACATGAAGATTGATGAAACACAATCACACACTGTAACCATCCAATTCTCATTTGAAACCTCTCTGACAAAACAAGTACTAGAGATCTATTCAGCAGGGAGCATCTTGTCTTGTCACATGTTCAGGACCATCTGAAACTCATTTACAGCCTCTTCATGTATTGATTGGTGTCGAAGCACAGCGCATTGTGAATCATCACATTTGGAGGCTGTCGCAGCATTCAGTATGGATTTCACATAAGCTACAATATGACCTCTAAAGTTAACAAGACAAGAAACTCAAGCTTTATGAAATCAGTTTTTGTCTGTGAAACATGTCCTCCATCTAGATTCAATCCCTTTGATTCATTCTTCTGTATTCACATCACTGTGTCTTCTGCTTTTAAGTGGTCAGTAATGGGTGTTTTCACCACTCATGGTTAAAAGCTCTACCTGTGGCAATGTCACATCTGAGAAGAGATGATCAGGTTGTGTTATTGTGTCTTGTGTCAACAAATAGGCCATTATGACTCGGTTGTGGTACAGACTGAGGTCTCTAGCCATTATTGCCTGCAAACAAACTATTGTCATTACAAACAAGAGTTAAAAGTCTCAGTGTCCAAAATAGACTGATCAGCCGCTGCCATAGACTGCACTGTGTGCTGAACCATACAGCTGCCCTGTGACATGGTATGATTGACCTGAAATCAAATCCAGGCTGACACAAGATTGTTACGAGTCAAGTAGATGGATTATTACAGATTGTCATGCAGCCCTCTGATGATAAGTGTCAGTTCTCTGTTCACTCAGGCAGAACACTTTGACGCCATCTCATGCTTAGGTGTTTATCATCCTTTGTGGTTGCGAGATGAGGAACAAGGCGACATCAGATGCATATTTAATAGGACTGAAAGTTAGGCATTATCACAGTGCTTCCATGAAGGTATGGAGGCATTACACTACCTGGCTCAGACCAGCCAATCAGGTCTGGTTGTAGCCTAGTGCTGCATTAGCAATCGATCAGCCTGAGTGGTAGGTTTTAATGCAATTCTGTCTACCACCAGGTGGGTCAGGGTGAGTAAGATATTGTCAAGTGTTTGGATGACTGGACTCTGGCCTGTCAATATAGATGACTCGCTCGGCCCACTGGTCAAATCGGAGATCAATTCTCTCAGCGTATTTATGCTTAATAAGCCTCAACCAGCTACAGAAGGTGGGTGTCATCTGATTTGACATGCTGTGGGAATGCTGGTGTCGACAGACGGATTACACATTGGCTCTGTAGCACCACTTGTCACATCACTCATGAGATAATAAGACGTGACAACCTTCGGCTACTGATGAACATGAACCTCCTGACAAGGTTTGTATGCTTCTGTGATGCTTTGTGTCACTGGATGACAATAAGGTGGTGCTGAACCTGAAACAATACAGACCTATCTGTTTCCGTGAAACAAAGTTAGACTGTGACAGTTTGTGTTTGTAAACAACAGGATTGGTGTATCTATCATCAGGAGTGATCTGACAGAGGCTGGCCACACTTCCACAGCAAACTGTGTGATATTGAAAGAGTTTAGAGACAGAGTTAAATAAGTGACCTCACTTGTGTAGCTGAGGAATTAAGAGGAGTTTCTTAGACTGGTGGTTAAAGAGTTTGGTGTTCCTTCCTCTTTGGCGGCAGCAGTGTTAGATGAGTGTTGTCCGAGGGAACTGCTGTAGACGATCCTGGTCCTGGCATGATCTTGCCAGTGTCATCAGAAACACTGTCACATCTACACAAAGTTTACCGTCAACCATGACCAAAGTGTCACGCTTGTCTGATCTGTACAGGTATGGGCTTCCTCAAATACCTTTCTTTTTCATTTCTTTTCAGCCTTTTGTTCATAAAACTGAAATGTGCAAATGGTCAGTTAATCTTTTTATTATTTCTGGGTCTTTTTCTTTAGGTTCATTAGTTTTTCAGTTAATAATGTCAGTTCTAGACATTTTGAACAGTTAAATCTTTGAAATCACTGAGAATCATATGAAGCTAACTCCAGTATTGTTAACAGTGAAGCTACTATTCACTTTGAGATAGGGAGATGTCTACATGATGTGTGCATTCCCTGTTGTAAGAGTGATCTGTGCTACTGTAGAGTAGTATTGATCTTTCTAGTATTTCAACAGGTGCTTCTTACTTAAATGCCAAGCTTGGATTTTCTGCAGGAATGCTGGTACATTAAGCTTGTATGAACACTGTCCTCCATCATCATGCCATCTGCAGTTCCTGCCATTCATGCAGGTTGTTTATCACAATGGATTTTGTCATTTTCATTTTCATTCTCTTCCATGCTATTATATTTTCCTGGGGCTTTTTTTTCATTTCTCTTATCTATATAAAGCTGTTAGTCCTATCTTGTTTACCTCTGATCTCTATTATGCTGTTAGTCCCATTTTTGTCTATATCTAATCTCAAAGATAGTATTAGTTCCATGTTGTATACATCTAGTTTTCTAAGATATTGTTAGTCTCATTTTGTCGACATCAGATCACTAAGATGCTGTTAGTCTTTTTTTTTTCTATGTGAGATCGCTAAGATGCTGTTAGTCTCAGTTATACCCAGATGTTTCTTCAGCCTTCAGAATCAAGCAGTTAAGAGTACTACACAATCCAACAGTCTTATATGTGATCTATATAAACATGTACAATGTATATTATCTAAAATAACAATGGTCTGAAAGAAAGATGCTTCCAAACTCTAATCTACATCAGTAGCAGATCCTGCTAATTGGAGAATCATTTGCAGTCTGTGCCAAAAGGTACATAGTCTGCTCAACCAAAATAGTCTTTTGGTAGTACATTTTAGTCTGAATATATGGATTATTGTTAGATGAGTGAACTATACTTAACAAATTGTTACTTGACTGAAACTTTGAGCAGGGTAGTGAAGTTGATTGAATGAATATGTGGCATTCCAGCATCAGTAGAAGGTCCTTGATTTAAGTCCTTAGTACACAAGAATAATCCGTTCATTGATATCATTCTGCCGAGTATGTAGAAATGACATGTTCTGGTGTTGACTGCTGATGCTGTAGTATTGAGCATCCCAGCTGTGTCCCTCACAGCAGGATGGTATTCTAGGCTATTACCTCATTGGCATAGTAACATCTATATATTGTGTACCTATATTCATATACCTGTCAGCTGTGTGGCCTACTTGTCACTCTCTGCTGAGAGACGTTATCACTGCATATAGGTAGGTAAATAACTGGTGTTATGACTACTTATTATGATGTTGGGTGAGTGCACTGGCCTGTGGTGCTACAGCTGATTTGGATGAAGGGGTAATGTCAGGTAATGACAGTCATTTCTGTTTTGATTTCCAGGCAATATTGTCTTTCAAATTAGCAGGTGTCCATTGGTTCTATGTCAAGGTTGCGTCTATGATATTGAATCTAGGGTGCCCCTAAATCTGAAATGTTTAACATTTGGGTGATGACAAAAACATGCTATTTTTCCTTCGTAATTTTCAACACTGATACATAGATATATTGTGGTACGAATGAAACTGAATTGTGTACCATTTCAGCATTGTATGACATTGATATTAAAGGAAGTCTACGCTTGTATGGTGGTATCCAGTTATTATTAGGCATTTATATGTTGTTATCACCCGGAAGTGTATATCAGTTCCAAAATAAGCATGAGAAGGTACATGACATTGTGATCTATATTTTAGTCTCAGATTCATGGTAGGAATTGATCTGGGTGATACTGGAAGTTACTCTGGCATGGCCAAAAGCATAATGAATGATTTTCTTTCTATATTAAAGGCACCATTAAACCCCAACACATTTGTTAATAGTGTAAGGTCGAAGATGGAAACAAATAATGGAGCACAAGATCACAAGAAGGGCAGCAGCATCATCCCATGATGACATCACACCACATTAGTTTATAATGTTTATTCTCAGGTCCATCTGTGTCCAAGGCACTTAGGAATGGATTCAAAGGTCAATCTGGTCTGAAGCCAGAGTTTAATAACTAGGGATGCCACGATGCATCGATGCATCAATACTTTTTCTAAGACAATACAATTATTGATACATTCAAAACTGTATCAATATTTAGTTTTGTAAGTATCGGTTTAAATATGTTTATGTATCGTTTACATTTTGCAATTGTATCATGTTTTTTTTTATGTTATTAGAGTTATAAATGAATATTCTTCATGCACAAAGATGGGAAATTAGAACTTTTTATTCTCTGAGAATAAAAAATGTTGATCTTTTCATGGACAATTATAAAATATGAAATATTAATGTTCAAAATGTAACTAAATTTACGCAATAATGCCACGAAAATAGGTATCGTGATATGTATCGAATCATGACATGGGTATCGTGATACATATCTATTCATGAAACTTATGTATTGTGACATCCCTACTAATAACAAAACTGGTAAAAATCTAGGATCTGCATAACTTTGTGCCATGATATAACTAGTATACTGTTTGAAGCCATGTTAATCCCAACTGACTGACTTCGTGATATGTTACAGAGGGTCACTGGGCCATGTTTAGGGTCCATCACACTGACCTTGAGTTATCCCTGTCAGCTTACAGCACTGGCCCGTCAAGGTGTTGGGATCATAGGTACAACAATGTACTGCCTGCATGCCTCACTGCAAGGCACAAGGTTAATGGGTGCGGTGTTTGTGTTTGATGTCTAGAAGTAAGTTAATTAGTTTTGTCAGGCCACTGGATAATGAATATAGGTACACAAAACAAATTAGGTGAATTGCTTTTTCTCATGATATAGGGTTGTGTTCAAACAGGTTAGTGCTTTGAACATCTATATATTGGTTTCCAGATCACAAATAGCTTTGAGAAGATACTTTATTTTCTAAAGTAGATCCAAATAAAACCCCTAGCATTCTTTCAAGTAACAGTTAGAATTAACCATTACTGTAGGTATCTGTTTACATATTGTAATGAGCTTTTAAGCCCAAAAGGAACATAGCAAATATAACCAATGTTGACTCAATTCTAGTAATCGCTTGAGCTATTTTCCTGTATAGCTAAATGTAAAAAGCAGTTTCCTGGTTAACATGTGTTAAGAGACAGTATATAGGCATTGTTGCTGCCTACACATAGACTGATTGTGGTACACTTTTCTTTACAACTGTTATTATTGTATGGAAAGGGATGGTTGTATAACAAACATTCTATACTTATTTGTGTATTTAGTTCATGTATGGACCCGTGTTCTAGTCAATATGGAGTTGAATTAAGTTCCTGAGGGCGTGATAAGAAAATTTTATTCTGAAGTTGTTTTTATCAGTTTTAAGCCACATAAACATGTTGATAATGTGTATAGATAGGGAATGAAACAGTATTACAATGATCAAACCATTGCCATTTGTCAGTATAACTACAAGCTGTTGCCATTTGTCAGTATAACTATGATCAAACTTGCCATTGTCAGCACAATTATGATAAAATGATTACCATTTGCCAGCTTAACAATGACCAAACTATTGCCATTTATCAGTATAACTATGATCTAACTGTTGCCATTTGTCGGCATACCTATGACCAAACTGTTGCCATTTGTAGCATAACTATGATCAAACTCACCATCTGTAGCATAACTATGATAAAAAATCATTGCTATTTGTAGCATAAAAATAACCAAAACTGCTACCTTTTGTAGATGAGACTGTATGGTCATACCATTGCTAGTGAATCTGAAGTTTATCAGCATCCAGTTCAGTTTACAGGGAAGTCATGTTTATGATGGATAGATAGGAAAGCCACACCCATTTGATCATCATCGCTGCATCATATTTCCTTCTGTAATTTGTCAACTTTCACCAAAATAATGAAGCAGGGAACTTCCCAATTCCTTGTCTACAGAGTTGCATCTCTAAAACTTTCCCTGAAACAATCCGTGATTGTCAACTACAGTTTGTATGATCCAGATTAAAATTATTTCAGCCCTTCAAAATAGTGGTGTGTTCTTTCATATCATTATAGCTGTGTCAAAGCATGACAGAATTACTATAGTGATATGAAATAATATGAAATGTTTTCTATTTGTATAATATTGTATAATATTCCTCAGCATAAAGATTGAATGTTTAAGTTGCCCTTTGAAAGATGTCATGGATATTCATATGCATTGTGTGTCTACTAGAGTGAATGTTAGAGGGCAGATTTGCACATATGTATTCAGTTTCGGAAATGATATGCTGGAGATGTCACAAGTGACATTTACGGGAGCTGTGGTTATTGGAGAGGTCCTGCCTTCACCAGTGACATAATGTTTGTTCTGTAGATCAGGCTGTAAGGCACTTCAGCAGTGACATTTAAAAGGAAGTTTTGTAACTGCTACACACAGAGTATGTGCTAGGTACAAGTGGCTTGTTGTGTTGACAGGGTTGGCCTGTCAGATCAGTCAGTCTGATAGCCGCATTGTGTAATGCTGCTTGTCCCGGTGATTGTTACAGGGGATACACATCGTTACAGCTTGTAACTTCCTTGTTACAGTGTATTGAAACTGGTTACTTTTCAGAGATGAAGGAGGTAAGGTTGGGGATCTGGTTGTAATGTTATTGTGTGGTTTTAATATCCATGGCTCGTTCAATAGGGAAATAATTATTATTATGGAAATGTAGAAATGACAAGGTTAAGTAGATGATTATTTCTCTGTTTGTATGTTTTGTCTATTGCGTTTCTTTTTTAAACAGAAATACCACACAAGAATATTTATGATTTTGAATTAATGAGGTGAATTGTCGGTTTGAGGTTAATAGATGATTAGTGACTTCCAGCTTTTGAATATTGTACCTATCTCTAGTGTTAAGTGTGAAATAAGTTGAGTTGTTGAGTTGAGTGTTAAGTGTGTAAATAAGAAATAAGATATCAACATTTAACCAGCTACAGTCATCAGTAATATTTTGTTGATGAAAGTAAAGTTGGTAGTCAGTACCAGTCAGTGTTTTGGCTTCTTGTGCCTTACACCCAGGATTATTTTCTCATCTGAGTATAATGTATCACACCTATTCTTTGGATACATTTTCTTGTTATGGCTAGAATATTATCATTTCTATGGTTTTGAATCAAGTTCAAACACTCAGTTATATCATTAATGCCTTTTCCAAATTCAACATTGTATCAGTTCAGTGGCTTTACACTGTAAGTAACCATGGCTCTACAAAGAATCTAACCATGTAGGTTAAACAAGCAATTGTGGGTCTGTGAAAGAAGCAATTCTAAAGCATAAATCTATCATCACTGAAGCAAAGGGAGGCTTCATAAATCCCAATTCAGCATGTGGCTGTTTCTGTTCTCAAGTTTACTTTAGAATACAGGTGCCCAATACTCCTGAGTCAATTAGTTTCATATTAGTGTATAAAAACTCCACTCAAGACTGTAGGTAAAGGCACCTATACATACAAAAACATCAGAGAGACTCAGTTACCAGTTTTCTGATACGATTAGCTTCTGGAGGGTCGTGCCTGGGAGAGCCATCACGTGTAATAAACACTATGGGAAAATGTCGAGAATTATCTCCCTTGGCATGTGATAATTGCTTGTATAATTAGCCTCTACGGGTGTCCTATGTATCAAGAGGGAGAACAAAGCTCACGGTAGGTATATATAGCCCATTATCTTGGAGTGATATACTAGTTCGGTATCATGGTGTAAGCTTACACCTTCCTATCAAATTTATGCCCCTCTTCATGGTTTTTCTCCTGTGATGTTGCTGGTTGTATATTGTCAGAATTTTATGGCTGGGATTAAGTTGGATATTTATTCCCAATTAGAAGAAATTGTGGTAACTATTGAATTTTATTGTTTGTAGCTGCATGTGTATAGAGCAGAATGTGAATAGGGTCATCATGTTGCAGTGAGTGGAACCAAACTGTTCACAAGGTCACCAATTACAAGGTTATTTTAGGCCTATTTACAATATACTCTTGTATCTTGTTATTTCAATTTTTGGTTTTACCGACTGTATGTTTGATGTAAAAAGCTGAAGAGATTGGGCGTTTTTAAGGGATATTTTCGCTTAGGGATTGGGGTAATCTGCTTTTTATCGCAATCTGTGATTGGTTCCTCTTTGCTTAACTTTGATGTTAGATGGCTGTTTTGCTTCCTGAAATACTTGGCCACAGTGTCGTATTGATCCCATAGGAGGCAGTAATATCTCACGTACAGATCCAAACTGGACAAACATTGATGTCAGGATCTGAACCAGAAACCAGAAACTAACAGTAGTGTGTTATTGCAGAGTGAAAGTGAGTTGATTTAGATTATTTGCACAGTATGCTGGGCCAGCGTCACCGAAGTTATGTGTTTATTGAAATTGATAATTATCAGTTGGGCTTGTGTCAGGGCCATGTATCTGCCTGGAGTTGGAATGATAAGCATTGCCAGCAGTGAGCAACAACATCTCCCCAGCGTTGGTTACATGACCCTTTGTGCCAGTTGGCAGCCCTTCCTTGTCTTGAAGTGATAACTGGCTGACCCCCCTGTCAGGCTCATCCAGGGACAAGCTACAGCATACTGGCAAACATTGCAGCCTCCAAACACAGGGAGCAAACCTGTTGCAACTGGGACCTCATCATTGGAACCACTTGTTGAAAACTTTGAAGAATTTATTAGGATAATTAATTAATCACTGTCGGCATCAGGGACTGGTGATTACCTGATTAAATCTTTTGGAGGATTGATATATGCAGTGCAGAGTACATCTTATCACCATCTCTTTCTTTCCACTTTGCTTTAAGCCAGTCACTTTCTCATGCAACTTTCTGTATGGTGACTTTGGTTAACTTGTAATCTCTCTAAATCCACTCCACATAAACTGCCACGTGCTGTTGGTCATATAGGTAGTAAGGATCTTGGAGCTTGGATCTTTAGGCAGCTGACAGCCAAACACTTCCTTACAGTTGGTTAAAGTTGGGATTATATGGTCACAATGCCTCCTGAGTTGATGACCACATGGGTTCAAATGCTGATAATGTGTCAATGTACCCTAGTAGCTTGGATTGATGCTTCCACTATTAGTCACTGGTTGTCTGGACCAGGATTGATAGGTCACAGGCTGTAATACCAAAGCTGTGATTATGTTGTGGCATTAAACACAATTCACGATGTACTTATAGCATGTCAAAACTCTCATTGATTAATAGAGCCAAAAAAAGTATCTAGTCTGTGTTTCACCCCCACAGGATGAGACTTGCAGTTAAGAGTTAAAAGCTGCCATGTGTGTAATAAATAAATGCTTTTGTTCACATACACTCAAGTACATAGGTCTGCCTGAGTTTTGTCTGAAGTGTGCCAGTGACACCTGAGTTGTACTTTCTACCTGATTTTCCACAGATGTGGACAGGGCTTGTTCAATGCAGGGATTCCTCGCGCATCTCACTCACTCTCATAGTTGCCCTTTCACTCCATCTCTCAATAAAACCTCACCCACCCAAGAAACCAGGTCGAGACTCAAGATTTGGACAATGCAGACTGCTAGTACCCAAGGTATGAGATGCAGAACTGGCATATACTCCACTTGGACTTTGAGAGGTGAGAAACCAACACCCTTGTCCACAACATCCATGGAACCCTACCCTACACCCTGTCTGATAATTACCCCACACCCTCAGTCACACTGTCTAATGGTTGTCAAGGTGTTAGTCTGATGCTTCTCGGTTCCTGGTATTCTGCCAGGCAACTTTGTGCAAGACAGTAATGATAAAGGTTTACTTGCGTGTCTGAATCAACTTTTGTGATTTGTAGACATTCCTTCACATACCTCATAAATTCAAAATTGATATTTATATTTTTTCATAATTTCTCTTTATCACTCTGTAAACAATATTTGCAAGTGGTATTGTTGAGTGATGTTTGTGTAGTGTTTTGAATATTGCCTTGCTGATTTGTTACCAAATCAGATGTGATATTTACTGCCTCCATTATTCATAGAGGCTGTCATTACTACAAAGAATGATTGATCAGATTTATTTATTTATCAAAGCCTTTATCTGTGCAAGAATATGGAGAAAATATAAGCTACCATATACGATTAGGACCCTGTATCAAATCTTAAAGCTGGATTCCTTGTCAGAAGGAAACGGGATATGATTCGAGCGTGGTTCCGGCTCCAAGGGAGGACACTTCCTACAGGGCTTCGCAGGATGTCTCTAATCACGGCCTACCACATGTCACATGACCTTTGAAGCATCATCACAGAGCTGTACTAGGGACGTCCTCTTGTCAGGAATCTCCTCTGGTCATGGCGCGCTGGATGGCTGTGTTCAGAATGGATGATTTAATGCTTGGCTTATGAGTACTTGATATTCGTGTTCATGGATGTTATACTCTCTTTGAGGAAGTACTTACATGGTTCATTGGTTATACTTTTGCATAAAAGATTGGAGCTTGGTTCAAAGGTTGCTGTGTGTGCCCTGTGTTATTTCCATGTTTGATTCAGCAGTTTCACTTATGTTCAACTTGACTGTTCCAAAGCCTTTTCAACTTAAGCAATGAATTTGAAGAATATTCAATAATTTATTGATACTATCATAATTATCCTAATGCTATTTGTATCTATCAAAATTAATGAGGTGTACTGTGAAATATAGAACATTCAATTTAAAAGTGATATTCTTTTTAAACCATGATATCTGACTAAGGCTCATTGTGATGACTGATTTGTAATTGCAGAGCGTGTGTAGCATATAAACATTGTTCATTCCGTGGTATAAGACAGGAAGTCCATGCGTATCCTGCATTCAAATTTTGTTGAGGGTATGATAAGTTTGGGTTTGTGAATATTTTAAACATCAGATTCTCAGTAATTTGGAGCAAGTCTATAAATGTCATTATTTCTGGATTTAGATACCATATTAATATTTATGTCATTTGGTAGTGTGGATTATATGGCAAAGAAGAGGACGTGAATACATCATACAAAAGCAATGCATAAATGCATGTGTATTCTTAAACTTAAAGCAAGATCACGTACGCATCATGTGCAGTGTGATACCTCCATTGACATATATTTCCTCACCAAGATTGTGACATTTCGCGTGAAATGATGTCCTGGTTTTGATGTGTGGCTAGGTTTCAGTATGAGTCAAAATGAGCCATGACTGTTACCTGGCCCACATGGTGATGTCATGGTGGGAATGATCTCCCTTTGTTCCAGAGTTCTAGTTTTCTTAAGGGAGTTATTTTCACTTAAGCCCCTGGGCCAGCCCTTTGCTAGAATTTGAAGTGAAGCCTGTTAATTCATTCTTGATATCTTCATTTTGTGATTTTTCTGATCAAATTATGTTTTAAATGTCAGAGATTGTTGGTGTCAAGTTGACACTGAGGATCACAGAGCTACCATTTTATGTGTTATGATGATCTCTTCAGTGGGATGAATGTATCTGGTCTTTCTCTTAGACTTGATCAAGTCCCCATTTGCCCTGCAAAGTGCAGTAACTGTCTAAAAAGTGTTCTTAGGAAGAATAGTTTTATCTAATAATAATATTTTGTGCGATGGTTTGAATTATCTCTTTTATTATACCACATTATTGCCAAGTTGAAACAAACAGATGATCATACAGAATTGGCAGACAGCAGCAGCTTGTCAAAGTGAAACTGGCATCCCCAGCCTTATTGACAGGGAAGAGCCCACATTTAATACTTCCTTCATTGTGAATGTATTTGTTCATAAGATGTGAGTCTGACAGTTGTCTTCCTATTGCAGGTACCTGGTTCACCATCACCACACCTATGCAAACTTCCAGGGCAATAGAATGGACGAGTTTGGGGACGAGTTTCGTTCCATCAACCATTCTGAGAGGATGATGAAGAAAATGGAGCTTTATGTGAACAAAAACACTCTATGTGATGTTACCCTTATCGCTGGAACAAAGCGCATTCCAGCGCACAGACTCGTCCTCAGCGCAGCCTCAGACTACTTTGCAGCAATGTTCACAAGTGATGTCCGAGAAGCTACGATGTCTGAGATCAAGATGAAAGATGTGGACCCAGATGCAATGGTGTCCCTCATAAACTACACATATACAGGTAGGACAAGCCTTAGTACATCAAACCCAATAAAATCAGGGTTAGAATCGATCTTCAGCAACCCATGTTTCTTGTAACAGGTGACTAACGGGTGGGCAGACTCGCTGAGTTGGTTGACACGTCATCATATCCTAATTGCTCATGATACCAATCACTGGATTCTCTTGTCCAGCCTTGATTTTCAGACCTCCATTAAATAGCTGGATATTGCTGAGTGTGGTATGAAACAACAAACAAACGTAGTACAGAACTGTGTGGGAGTGTTAATGTTGTTGTCACATCTCAGTCAACAGTATTACAGCTATATCACCGGGGCATGTAGATAACTGAAGAGGTCTGGACACACACATGAACTGTGTAACAGTATTGGTCTGTAGTGGGTTATCACACATTGCAGAATATGGATTGCAGTAGATGAGTTCTGATCAAAAAACCATCTCACAACTGACTTTCACGTTGTTTTGTCCATTGACACTCACATTGTTGATTTTAAATTTACCTGGACCGACATGATTACATCATGCACTTGCTTTAATAAACTCAGATTCCTATAAGTGATGCAAAACCCATCCATGTCATTTATTAGATGAGAATAGCTGAAAAATTGCTGATTCAGTTTTATGCAATATTCACTCCATTACTTGTGTCCATTGTCAGCCATTGCAAAATACTACAGGATGTGAATTTCGATTTTATTTCCCCACACAAGTGAGTTTGGCTGTCGGTGTGTAACACTACTGCAATATTCATGGTATTTATGGTGGTCTGTTTATTGTGAAGTGCCATAAAACAACAATAGCAGAGTATTTTGTGCTCGTACTTGTCCCTATTGGCAGATTTAAAGCAGACATGCCATGACAGGAGAGGAAAATAATGTAGCCTTTTTTAAACTATGCTGTCTTAGTAAGAGAGGAAACTATCTGGAATTGCTATAATCAATGAACTGCAGTTATGGATTGTATAAATTAGTATAATGCAAACACAGGTTTATCTCTCTCAGCCTAGTGGTTAAAACGTTCGCTCTTCTCGCCAAAGACCCAGGTTTGATTCCCCACATGGGTACAATGTGTGAAGCCCATACCTGGTGTCCCCCCAACATGATATTGGTGGAATATTACTAAAAGCGGCATAAAACTAAACTTGCTCACTCACTATTACTTCATATAACTTGTCGGTCATGTCATATGAGAACAAACTATTGTGGTATATTTGTTTTGAATTAGGTGTGGTATCATGACAACCATTTCTTGACCAATTTCTTCCTGTACATATACTTTCTTTTCTTTTCTTTTTTTTATGATGTTTGCTTCAAATTTATTTGACATAGAGCTTCTTTTCGGATTTGAATCCTGACTAGTTCACCTTAACATTATGGTTTCTTACCATTGGATTGGACAACAGTGACCCATGCTTATTGTACATGATGACTAATGAGGATCGTTAAATACATTGGGTGATATGCCTAATTGTGTGTCCTCATGCCCTGAGGGCACTGTACATGCTGTGATAATGGGGTAGCCTATTGGTTAAAGCATTCGCTCGTCACACCAAAGACATGGGTTTGATTCCCCACATGGGTACAATGTGTGAAGCCCATTTGTGGTGTACCCCCGCCATGATATTGCTGGAATATTGCTAAAAGTGGCATAAAACTCACTGACTCGCTCCCATGCTGTCAACCACTGGTTTTCTGATCCAAACTTGAATATTTAAAACTGCTGCAGCATTGGTGGGAAATTGCTGACTGGTGCATAAATAACATCAGCTTATTCAACTTGCACCAAGTTCATTATGTTGACGTCCTATCTTAAGGAAATAGTTGTGTCACCCATGTCAACAACATTATGAATCATCAAGATATGTGCCCCAATCCTAGCATTGTTTTAATATCTTCCTCATAGAAATTGCCTGATCTGTCCACAGCAGAAACACAGTAGATTTGCCCTGTCTGTCAAGTAAGGAGACCCAGTAGATTTGCCTAGCCTGACCAGTAAAGAAACACAGTAGATTAGCCTAGCCTGACCACTAAAGAAACACAGTGGATTTGCCTAGCCTGACCAGTAAAGAGACGCAGTAGATTTACCTAGCCTGACCAGTAAAGAGACGCAGTAGATTTGCCTAGCCTGACCAGTAAAGAAACACAGTAGATTTGCCTAGCCTGACCAGTAAAGAGACGCAGTAGATTTGCCTAGCCTGACCAGTAAAGAAACACAGTAGATTTGCCTAGCCTGACCAGTAAAGAAACACAGTAGATTTGCCTAGCCTGACCAGTAAAGAAACGCAGTAGATTTGCCTAGCCTGAACAGTAAAGAGTCGCAGTAGATTTGCCCTGTCTGACCAGTAAAGAGAGGCGCCCAGTAGATTTGCCCTGTCTGACCAGTAAAGAGACGCAGTAGATTTGCCCTGTCTGACCAGTAAAGAGACGCAGTAGATTTGCCCTGTCTGACCAGTAAAGAGACGCAGTAGATTTGCCCTGTCTGACCAGTAAAGAGACGCAGTAGATTTGCCCTGTCTGACCAGTAAAGAGAGGCAGTAGATTTGCCCTGTCTGACCAGTAAAGAGGCGCAGTAGATTTGCCCTGTCTGACCAGTAAAGAGGCGCGCAGTAGATTTGCCCTGTCTGACCAGTAAAGAGACGCAGTAGATTTACCCTGTCTGACCAGTAAAGAGACGCAGTAGATTTGCCCTGTCTGACCAGTAAAGAGACGCAGTAGATTTGCCCTGACCAGTGTGTGACCAGTAAAGAAGCGCAGTAGATTTACTCCAGCCTGACCAGTTTGCCCTGTCTGACCAGTAAAGAAACACAGTAGATTTGCCGAGCCTGACCAGTAAAGAAACACAGTAGATTTGCCGAGCCTGACCAGTAAAGAAACACAGTAGATTTGCCCTGTCTGACCAGTAAAGAAACACAGTAGATTTGCCTAGCCTGACCAGTAAAGAGACCCAGTAGATTTGCCTAGCCTGACCAGTAAAGAAACACAGTAGATTTGCCTAGCCTGACCAGTAAAGAAACACAGTAGATTTGCCTAGCCTGACCAGTAAAGAAACACAGTAGATTTGCCTAGCCTGACCAGTAAAGAAACACAGTAGATTTGCCTAGCCTGACCAGTAAAGAGACGCAGTAGATTTGCCTAGCCTGACCAGTAAAGAGATGCAGTAGATTTGCCTAGCCTGACCAGTAAAGAAACACAGTAGATTTGCCTAGCCTCACCAGTAAAGAAACACAGTAGATTTGCCCTGTCTTTCAAGTAAAGAAACACAGTAGATTTACCTAGCCTGACCAGTAAAGAAACACAGTAGATTTGCCTAGCCTGACCAGTAAAGAAACACAGTAGATTTGCCCTGTCTGACCAGTAAAGAGACGCAGTAGATTTGCCTAGCCTGACCAGTAAAGAAACACAGTAGATTTGCCTAGCCTCACCAGTAAAGAAACACAGTAGATTTGCCTAGCCTGACCAGTAAAGAGACACAGTAGATTTGCCCTGTCTGACCAGTAAAGAGACGCAGTAGATTTGCCTAGCCTGACCAGTAAAGAGACCCAGTAGATTTGCCTAGCCTGACCAGTAAAGAAACACAGTAGATTTGCCTAGCGTGACCAGTAAAGAAACACAGTAGATTTGCCTAGCCTGACCAGTAAAGAAACGCAGTAGATTTGCCTAGCCTGACCAGTAAAGAGACACAGTAGATTTGCCTAGCCTGACCAGTAAAGAGACGCAGTAGATTTGCCTAGCCTGACCAGTAAAGAGACGCAGTAGATTTGCCCTTAGCCTGACCAGTAAAGAGACGCAGTAGATTTGCCTAGCCTGACCAGTAAAAAGAGACGCAGTAGATTTGCCTAGCCTGACCAGTAAAGAGACGCAGTAGATTTGCCTAGCCTGACCAGTAAAGAAACACAGTAGATTTGCCTAGCCTGACCAGTAAAGAAACACAGTAGATTTGCCTAGCCTGACCAGTAAAGAAACGCAGTAGATTTGCCTAGCCTGAACAGTAAAGAGTCGCAGTAGATTTGCCCTGTCTGACCAGTAAAGAGACGCAGTAGATTTGCCCTGTCTGACCAGTAAAGAGACGCAGTAGATTTGCCCTGTCTGACCAGTAAAGAGACGCAGTAGATTTGCCCGGTCTGACCAGTAAAGAGACGCAGTAGATTTGCCCTGTCTGACCAGTAAAGAGACGCAGTAGATTTGCCCTGTCTGACCAGTAAAGAGAGGCAGTAGATTTGCCCTGTCTGACCAGTAAAGAAACGCAGTAGATTTGCCGAGCCTGACCAGTAAAGAAACACAGTAGATTTGCCTAGCCTGACCAGTAAAGAAACACAGTAGATTTGCCCTGTCTGACCAGTAAAGAAACACAGTAGATTTGCCTAGCCTGACCAGTAAAGAGACGCAGTAGATTTGCCTAGCCTGACCAGTAAAGAAACACAGTAGATTTGCCTAGCCTGACCAGTAAAGAAACACAGTAGATTTGCCTAGCCTGACCAGTAAAGAAACACAGTAGATTTGCCCTGTCTGACCAGTAAAGAGACGCAGTAGATTTGCCTAGCCTGACCAGTAAAGAGACGCAGTAGATTTGCCTAGCCTGACCAGTAAAGAAACACAGTAGATTTGCCTAGCCTGACCAGTAAAGAGACCCAGTAGATTTGCCTAGCCTGACCAGTAAAGAAACACAGTAGATTTGCCCTGTCTTTCAAGTAAAGAAACACAGTAGATTTGCCTAGCCTGACCAGTAAAGAAACACAGTAGATTTTCCCTGTCTGACCAGTAAAGAGACGCAGTAGATTTGCCTAGCCTGACCAGTAAAGAAACACAGTAGATTTGCCTAGCCTGACCAGTAAAGAAACACAGTAGATTTGCCTAGCCTGACCAGTAAAGAGACACAGTAGATTTGCCCTGTCTGACCAGTAAAGAGACGCAGTAGATTTGCCTAGCCTGACCAGTAAAGAGACCCAGTAGATTTGCCTAGCCTGACCAGTAAAGAGACGCAGTAGATTTGCCTAGCCTGACC